TCATCGATAAAGAAAAAACAAAGATGATGTCAAGAGGGCACTGAGTTGTATCTTCGTTAATAATAGTCACATCATCGCATGTAGCACATCGAATGAAAAGGAAACGAATTTAGAATGTATCGACAAAGAAAAGAACAAATATGGCGCAACATGTCCGAGAGCACTAAGTTGTATATTCGCTAATAATGATCAGATCGCCACGCACTCACGTCAAGAAAATAAAACAAAGAGGATACCAACAGAGCACTAAGCTGCATCGTCGTTAATAATGTTTGGATCTCAACGTGTAGCACATCAAATGAATGTAGGAGGAGTGTAGAATTCATAAAGAGAACTCAAAGGTAACGTTATGTCAAAATGGCATTAGCTCGCATCTTCGCAGACAGATTATGATATAACACATGAAAGGTACTTAAATGTGCATTAGGTGTGCATGTGATGAAATAATTTCGAAATTCGTATGAGAAGCATATGTGAAGTTGAAGAGTTGTTGAAAAAAAATATGAAAAATTTGATCATCCACCTTTGACATATATTTCCGTTTCATGCAAAAATAAACGCATCCGGTAAAATATACGATATATTTGGATTCCTTATGGTGAGGTTTCGAGTACGTCAAAAACAGGTCACTTCTGGTCATCCGATTTCAATGATTTTGACATCAATGGATTTGTTTCGATACCAAGAAACATAAATACATTATATTATGAAAAATACAATATCGAGCGCCTAATGCAGAATAACATAAAGAAAATGGCAAATTCAAAGAAAAACTTTGAAAAAACTGTAAATTCAATAGCCGTAGTTTGAACCATGATCAAACCAGAAGGGACTTCATCATATTCTCATTATTCTAAAGCATTAAAACTCGCAGAAATTCATTTCCAAATGACTTTTAGATAAATTCCGAGATTTGAAAAACTAAATGATATTTCCATCAATGCTACATCCTTCAGAAGAAATGGGAAACATTCATTACCCTACTTATATACCTCGCAAACGAAAAGAGAGATTGACAAGTGAACTTAATGCTCAACATCACATTCCGGCAGCTGTGGGTTACTACTTGAAGTGTTCATACGATGACACTCTATCCTTCTATAGGGCATATCGTAGAGAGGATTATATGCAATGATTCGCTGATGAGATGGATCAACTGACTGAAAATATGGCTACAGTGTTTTTGTGACTGCGGAGCAAGAAGTTGAATTTCGAAAAGCTAAACACTGTTACATCTGGCAAGAACCCTTTACTCTCGAAGACATGAAATTACGTGACCATAAAAATCTCATACCATGTGATAACTATCGTGGCCGCGCGCACGAAGGGTGTAATATAAACTACAAAGATAGCCATGTAGTTCCTTTAGTCACCATGGTTGAAGTTATATGTTGATTTGAATACTGAGTTGCGGAAAAGGGCTACGAATGAGTTTGAGGAAAACCTCTTCAAGCTAATGAATAATGCAGTATTCGGGAAAACTATGGAAAACATAAAAAAAGAGTCAATATTAATGAACTCCTCACCAAATGGATTGGTCACTACGAAGCCGAGGCCTATATTTCTAAGCCAGAGTTCAAAAATTGCATAATCTTCAACGAGAATTTGGTGGCAGTCAAACTAAGGAAACTGCAAGTTTTTTTAAATAAACCGATACAAATAGGACAGACTATCTTTACTTGGCAAAGACTACCATATATGATTTTCATTATGGCTGTATGTGCCATCGATTTGGAGATAATTGTGTAATTCTCTACACTGATACAGATAGCCTGATGAATGAAATATGCAATCAGAATCCCTATGAAGTCATACATTAAGATTGTCACCAATTCTTCATTACTTTGGATTGTCCTTTCAACAATCAGTTTATCGTTCCTTTGGTAAATAAAAAGTTTTTCTGAATGATGAAAGATGGGAATTACGCAGTTCCGATGACTGATTACATAGGCCTTAGATCGAAATTGTATATAACTAGGGTGTTGGTGACGGAGGATGGTATCAATAAGAAGCGATAGCAGTTTGTAAATAATGGCTATGATGAGGATGAAATCAATCAAATCATCTTATGCTTGGGGGTTACCAATAAGGAAAAGGAGGCTAAATCTTCTGTGGTGAAGAATAAAATTACGTTCGATGCTTATCTGAATTGCATAGATAATTGGAAGAATATGAATGTCACCCAAAATCCAATACAAGATTACCCTCAGCCCTGAAGAAGGTAAACGTTATATAATTTCAGATTAACACGATACGCTACCTTGGGGTCACTATTCTATCCCTCTAACATCAAATGCCATGGATACTGACGATTAACCCCTTATAATGATTATTAGTAGGTATGTATTTGGCTGCAATTCAGCTGAGAAAAGATTTTTATATCATTGATAAATGTTCAACTAACTACTTCATATTATTAGTAGATTTGAACTATAGGGATTCAAAAAACTTTGATAATAGCAAAATGTCTCGATACTTAAAATGTAATTGTGAACACTGACCTCCCTGTAAATTTAGTTCGGCGGGTTGGCTGTCCTTGTTCATCTTTCACTGACTGAACCACTGTGCATGCTGTTTTTGGCGAGTGCATTGGCTTGGCATGTGGAGGTTGAGCAAACCGGCCATCGGATGCCTGCTTCTATGATAGTTAAATCCTAAGGTGTGTGTAGCCATGCCGAGAGGATTAATGACACTGAGCCTATCAGCTGTCTCTATGGAATCTTCGAGAGACTTTTATGGACAGAGTAAACTCAAAAATTCTTTCTGACGCTAAGTCTATAGAGGAGATGGATGTCGATTTCACGACTCCAATTGACCTCCCTGTAAATTTAGATCAGAAGCGAGTCTTTAAAGGGGATGGATGTCAAGTTTACGACTAAAACTGACCTTCCTGTAAATTTAGTTCAGGAGCGAGAGCTTCTCAACTCCCCAACTCCTGATCCAATAACTGAACCTAAAAAAAAATTTGGTGATGCAGCCAGGAAACGACTGAGTCGTCTTCTCAAAAGCGGGGTATCTTATAAAATCACCTTGCACGAAATTTTTGAGCAGCGTACGCATAATCTGTCTCAGGTGGAGTAACAAACCCCCCATGAGCATGTTAGCAAACATTCGCGCTCAAGTAATGATTCACCAGGTGTAGCTAATGTGCAAAAACCCTCATATGGGAAGGTTGTCGCGGGTATCAAGGTGGAAATCTTGGCTATCCGACTACTTCGTTAACGATGAAATAGCAGAGCATATACGTAAGAGTACCACCGGACCTGAAAGACCACTCAAAATACAAACTGATCGGCTTCGTTAAGAAGCTGGGTTTAAGTGGTCGAGTGGGAATAGGTGTGAGCCACAATAAACCCTTGCGGATTGAGGTGGAGGGTCGAATAGACCCACTCACTTTTGACCTATTCTAACCTAATCCATCACTCATTACTAACATGACGCTAATTACAGTCTACAAGCAATTTTTATCTATTCGAAAGGTAAAGTATTGCTCTTTCACGTGGTGGTGCTGTTACGAATAATTATGATTCAATCGAAGCAGACTGATTTCCTATTTTTCTCAATATCCCAAGTGAAAAATCTCTGTTCTTCACAGAAAAGGTTTTTTGATCAATTCAATTTCAATTGTTCGACTAAATAAAAATTTCCAACAACTGTGGACGGTTATTTTTTCAAACTTATAGGTAATGAGATGAAAATCCGCTTATTTTTACATGATTTTTCGTGCCACGTTACATTGCAAATCATATGAGTTTTTGGCAAAAATTGAGTTTGAAAAAATGTGTGCTTTTTCGATGCGGTTACAGTGACCAAAATTACCGTTTCAGGGCGATATATTTTTGTGAATTTCGTATGCGATGTTCATGACAGAAATAACCGCTTCATAGTATGATACGACATCTTTCTTTTTCATTACCGTGACATCACCTACCATAATCGCTGGATTGGACGTGAAGGACCTCAAGGCTCTCTTTTATATAACGCCCGTACTAGATGTGAATGACTTTAGGAATTGAATAATTGACAATTGCAATGTCATAAGGAATACTCCGAGTATTTTTGAACGTGTCAGACAAACAATGATAAATTGATTGTAGTCGTGTATTGTATCAGAAGGTGGACATTTTGCTGATTTACTTCAATCTTGAAATTATGTATTATTTACTTTTAGTCTTCACCCAACTATCAACAACATACAACTTCACGCCAACCTGACCTGTTTACTGGTGACAGTGTGATAGTGAAAGCGTGTCTTATGAATTTCAGAATCTCTCGCTTCGAAAACTTTAAGGTCCCTTCTAGTTTAACCATGATTCAAACTACTGCTGTTGAATTTCACTTATAGTTATTCACAACCTAATTATATTGAATTTCCAGCTGTATGTCCGTTACATTGTCACCATGTTTTTTTTTTAATCTGATTCTTCATTCATCATTAATAATATATCACTTTCGCAATTCCATTATTTTCATCTACATTTTTTATTTTTATAATTCAATTTAATTTAATTTCCCTCAACTGCCGATGACCACTAGGACTACGTGACTGGTGCTCAGGGTTCAAAGCCTGAGTGCTGAGGCGGAGTCCCAAGGGGGCCCTCGCTTTTTGAATCTCTCCGATACTCATTCCACCCTTCTCTGCATCGATTACGTCAAATGTTTCCCTCTTTCACTCACTGAAGTCTCTCTCTGAAACACTTACCAACGACGCGCGATCTTGAAGTGGGCTCTTTGTTGTTCATCTACTAGCCTGGCGTCGGAAGACGTTGGTGTCAAGGCTAAGGGCAAAGTCTACAATGCCAATGATCTGGGTTCGAGTCTTATACCGATAATTTTTTTTAACATATATACCTACCCCATCTATACCTTTATCTTTCCTTAGTTTTTTGTTGACGCTATCGTATTCTTGTGGTAAAGACATGGTAAAGATCTAACGGTCTAATGTCCAATCGAATTTCAAACTCATAGCCAAAAAAATAAAATAAGAAGAATGGAGAATGCTGTCAAAAAATCAATAATGTAACCTGTCATAAAATTTATTATTGTTTTGAATCATAAAATTTCAAAAATTTTATTCTGAGTAGCCTGTTAACTGCACCCAGAAATTGATTTTTATCCATTATTTTCCGTAATGGATACTGGAAATTATTCCAATTTATGTAGGGCTTGCTTATGCTCTTCTAATGATCTGAAGTCTTTACATGATTCCATCGATTTATTTATAACATTTGAACATATAACTTGTCTACAGGTATATAATATAAAATATATGGACTTCAAATTTTTCATTCATCACTTTGTTCGAAGATTGAGGAGGGTGAGGAGATGCCACAGAACATTTGTTTGAAGTGTGCCCTTAAGTTGGAAGATATTACAAAATTCATTAGGATATGCAAAGCTAGTGATTCATATATTAGACAACGGTTGACTGAAAAAGATAACATTGAAATATGTGACTCATCAATTGAAGATGACATTGCCAATGACTACGATAGCCAGAGTGTTATTGAAATGAACAGCTCCTCTGTCTTGGATTCAAAACCAGAAGAAGCAGTTATCGTACCCCTAACAGAAAAAAATAAATTAGATAGAAAATCTTACAAATCTTCAAAGAAAACACGTTCAGAAGAATGTTCATGTGATACATGTGGAAAAAAGTTTACTAGATTAGGAGGATTGCAACGTCACATGAAAATTCATTTGGGTATCAAGCCTTTCAAATGTACAACCTGCTGCAAAACATTTTCTCAGAAGGCAACTTTAGAAAGGCATTATTTAACACATACAGGTAAGAGATATAAAAATCATATTATATATAGATAACCCAAGATCCCAGAGCTCCAAATATGTGATTTTAGCAAAGTTATTATTTTGTCAATAAATATAGTAATATGTAGATACTATTTGTCTTGAAATAATTTTCAACAAATGTAGGAATGTTCAAAATAGAAACATAAGTATTGTCAAATATGGAAAATATTCATGAAATAATTCAAATTCATTTAAGTAAATACAGCCAAGTGAGTACTTGAGTTGCAACAGTATAATTCATTGAACTATCTTCGCAGTATATAACTCTTCAAATCAAATCAGATAAACGATTCCTACATCAACCCTTTTATAATGGCATATTTAGTACTATTCTACATATTTCATCAATTTCAAGACACAGCTACAGAGATGATCTTTTTAGTATCAACTTGATTTAATTGGTTGTAACAAGGATGAAAAAAAAAGCTTGTCACATGGAATATCATGAAATGTATTTGCTATATTTGATATACCTGATCCTTCTTGTTCATTTCATGAATGTTTATTTTTTTACTTCCATGTTTCATTTCACCAGTTATTATCCAGTTTTTCTTCAGACAAGAAATTGAGTGAATGAAATTAACATTTTACTGTGTTAAAGAAGGAGCAATGATTAGTTACAACTGGAACAATAAAAAATACTCATGATTAGTCAACAATATATGATACATAGCATCCTTTCAATTTACAAATGAAAAAAAGGAAACAAAACAATTGACATTTGCATTTAATCAGCAAGAGTTCTTATTCCAATGATAGCGTGCACTCAATACATCAAAGAGAGATGATAATAATAATAATACGTTTATTATTTACCACAAATCCACAAACAATATTAAGTTTCAATTAAAAAAAAGTTAGGTAAATAAAAGTTGAGAGTTCAGTTTTCTTTCAACACCAGGAGGAGAGAAACTGGTCTTCCATTTAGACTCATACTACAAACTAAACTTAAAACTAAAATATACTTACTGACTAGTACCAGTGAACAAGAAGATGAGAGAAAAGCAAGAAAAAAAAAAAGATAAAAGAGAGAGAGAGAGAAGATATGAACCCTTTTTATAATTTATTTTCACTTGTGAGGGCAGTGATTCCTTTAGTGGAACAAACGTGAGTCATCAGTAATCATTTTGATTTTCAGACCATTTGATAGCTTACATTGTTTTCATGTTGTTTATTGAAAAGTTCCTACATTTTCAATTCCATTATACTTCACAAATAGTATTTTCACAACTAATAAACTTACGAGACTTCCTATTTCACAGTAAATAAATTTTTTATCATGATTATAAATTTAAACCTCAAATTGAGGATAGCTCTGTCTAATGTTCCCCATACTTAAAAATGAAACTGCCAGATATCATGAGTGAAATGTAAAATATAAAATATGTTTATACAGAGTAATAGGTTGCTGAAGTTATGAAGTTAATCCAAAATCATAACATGGGGTATTTCACTATTAGTGAATTTTAGAAATATGTATAAGCAATTCTTCATCAAAAGCTTAGGATGTTCGAAGCAGTAGTCACATCGTTTTGTTTTCATTAGTTTGTAGGTACCAGTTCGTGGACTTATATCAAATGCACATAGATGCATAGAAAGCTTGCTGTTTAAACTGATTCACCTTTGTATTCACTCCTATAAATAGGAGTTTTCAATGAAATAGTCTCGAGTATTATGTATGTGGACAGTTGATATTACCTGAGAGAATTTTTTGCAGGAATATTACATCATTGATACAGCTTCTGTGAGAAAGTGGCTGAATAATAATGATTTTTTCTACTTCGACATACTCATATTGCTCTAGGAGTAAACCCAATTTATAAGTACAGCACCTCAAAAATTTTTCTTGTACTCTTTCAATTTGTTTGACCAGTCATAGTGTGGAGATTAGACAAAAGACCCATACTCTAGAATGGATCTAACATGATGGATGTAGTCGTTACTACGTGGTAAGAAATCATAATGAAGAAAAGAGAATTGAAACTTTCTAGAAACAAAGAAAGTTTCAATTCTCTTTTCTTCATTACCTTTATTGTGTTATGACTGAAGTCTGCATGTCCTGAAGGTGAAGCCCAATATTTTATAAGCTTTTGCTGTGATTTCATCAATTTGGTAAGAAAAACTGAGTTTGGAGTCAAATTTTATTCCTAGGTCTTTTATCTCATTGACACGTGTTAACTGATTACCAAGGATTTCATATAGAAAATTGGTAAAGGTTTTCATCCGAAAGAAAGATATTGCAAAACACTTCTTGACATTTAAATTCATTTTATTGGGTTGACACCAGTGGCCTAAGTTCTCTATATCTTCTTGCAAAAGATTGGCATCATAGAAAGTGTTCACAGGGCGAAATAATTTCAGATCGTCAGTAAATAATAAAAATTGGGAACTCCTAATTGTATTTTATACAATTTATAAATAAATCAAAGACAAGTGACCCTTTGGTACTCCAGAAGATAAATTAATTGCATGTGAAATATATCCAGCCACTTTCACACATTGTGTTTGCCCATTCAAGAAGCTCTTGAACCAACTCAACAAATGACTCTTGAAACCAAGAGATATTAATTTGGATGCTAGGATATCATGCTTGACCCCATCAAAAGCCTTGGAAAAGTCTGTATAGTAACGAATTGAAGAATTAACTGTCTTAAACAAATTTATTTTTAACAATATTTCACTATCACAACTAATTTATATGCAACACTTAGCAACTAACGCTTAATTTATCTTCACGGTTAGAATTCTTTCTTTAAACGCACGATTCACTTTCTAGATACAGACTCCCTCTCTGAGCGAGGACCCGACCTTTTATATTGGTAACAAACGTTCTAGATACCTCTAGCGGTTTCGGTACTCATCTATTCTTTTCGTGGCGGTTCGTCGATCGAATTCCTTTCGCGGTGAGTCATATGTTTGGTATCTGAGATAACGATCAGGGCCGGCTTCAGATTCATTACATTGCCCCCTTCTTAAAGACGTTTCGTCCCGAAATGTTATCCTTGGCGTGTGTCGATACCTGCAGGACTGCACTGTGAAGTTCAATGGAAGTAACACTCCACAGTCTTCATGCTCGGTCGTGGAAGATGGTTACCGTACACCGAAATCTGGATGCCGCTGGATCTGAAGATCATTTCCAACATTTTTCTCACAATTCTCCAGTCCAGCCTGTCGAGCCCAGAGGCTAATTTCGGGATTGCCAATTCCACGAGATTCTGGTCGAGCATCGTCTCCTTCAGTCTTGTAAGACTCCTCCAGACATCTTCATAGGACGGTTTGTCTCGAGAATGCTTTTTGCTCACCAAGTAGAAGATGTTTCTCTGACCCTTCTTCAACTGTAGAACTCCTGTCCGTTTGACCTTCTGTCCGTTCGACCTTCTGTCCGTTCGAGTATAAGGACATGAATTGCTGGAACGCCATTCCATCCTCTGGTGGTCTGAGGGCGCGAACTTGATCGTGATTTCCAGCATAAGGAGCCAATCTATTAAAATGGACGACCCTAGGCTTTCCTCGAGGTGGCTTATGGATTCGGTAGACGAAGTCATTAATCTTTTTCATGATTTTGTACGGACCTTCCCACGAGTTCCGCAACTTCGGTGGTAAACCACGGCGTCGCTTAGGGTTGTACAGCCAAACTAGGTCACCGGTTTCGAATTCTCCAGCATTCGTCTTGATGTCATAGGCCTTCTTCATTCTATCGCTAGCACTCCGCCATCGTGGATTTCTTTGAGCACCTCCCGTCGTCCGTTCCTGGGTACCATTGTCTGGAGCCTTTCTTCTCCACCGTCTTCAGACTCCAACACCCGCTTCAGAACCCCGTTTTCCATGGTGAGAGAGTTCCGTTGGGCCCAGTAAGACTTTAACAGCTGACGAATAACCTGCTACCTCTTGCCACGATGGTCTTTGATTATTTTTCTTCCATCCGATGAATAAACCAAGATCTGGTTCTTCCTTGATCTTATTATCCTCCCAATCGTCGTCTACAGCTGTATTTCTACTAATAGCTGCATCCTTCTCTTCTGCTCGTCGACAATGTGTGCAGTCATCGGGGCATGGTCTCCGTGATAGGGCATCTGCGTTTTTATGGCTAGTCCCAGCTCGATTTTCTATTTTGAAGTAAAATTCTTGAAGTCTCTCAATCCAGCGTGCCACTTGGCTCTCGGGATTTTTGAACTGCAGCAGCCATTTGAGAGCTGCATGGTCCGTTCTCAACAGAAATCTTCCATACACGTATTTGTAGAAATGTTCTACACCTTTGACAAAGGCCAACAGCTCTCACCTGGTGACACAATAATTGCGATCTGGTTTACTGAGCGTTGTGCAGAAGTAGCCATTAACCTTGTCTTGTCCATCCTGGATCTGAGAAAGGACTGCTCCAAGTTCCACGTTGCTGGCGTCCGTATCTAAAATGAACCTTCCGTCCGGTAGGGGATAGCTCAAAACAGGAGCGTTGATCAAAGCTCTTTTCAATTCCTTGAATGAATGAGTCTTGGGATTCCTCGGACCTGTAAGTCGGATCAACGGTTTGGAGGTGTTGGCAAACCCCAGCACATATCTGCGGTAGTAGGTGCTAAAACCAAGGAAGCTACGAAGCTGATGGAATGGGCCAATCCTTAACTGCTTTGATCCTTTGTTCGTCTACCGCCACTCCTTCCTCAGAGACAACGTGGCCAAGGTAACGGACTTTTTTCTGGAACAGATGGAATTTCTTGGGATTAAGTTTCAATCTAGAACTTTTCATGAACACCTCCATGAACACCTCCTCCAGATTTTTCAAGTGATCGTCGAACGATTTTCCGACCACGATTATATCGTCGAGATACATTAGACATGTCTTCCATGAGAGCCCCTTGAGAACCGTCTCCATCAATCTCTCGAAGGTCGCTGGAGCATTACAAAGCCCGAATTGCATAACCGTGAACTGCCACAATCCTGAGCCGATGGTGAAAGCTGTCTTTTCTCGATTTTCTGGGGCAA